CATTCAGTTAACGTGCATCATGCGCGAGCCTCATGAAGACTTGCGTCACGCTGACAAGTTCTTCATTTCTTTAGTTTAGTTTATTTGATATCAAGTCAGACAAACAAAATTTCATTTATAGCCTATCTCCAAACACAATTCCTGTGTTTAAATCAGGAATTGTGTTTATGGTGTTTCTGCGCTGGGAGTGACGATATTGGATTGAAATTAATGTAATTTTTCTGTCGTTAAATTCTAATAGACAAGTTATTCATGAAAGTTCAACGAAGTCTCAGACTCGCACCGCAGAGCTCAGTATTCTCGTGTTGGTTGCGACCACGTTTGAGATTATCGCGCTATATATTTTTGCTTCTTGTAAGTTGTATATTACTTTTGAAACCCCAACCGTCATCCTGACGCTAGGTTAAAAGATTGTAGGAACGGGGGCGGTGGGGAGGAAGGGGGTGTTTTGTGGTGGGTGACTTGGCGGCATTCGTCAATCAGCTGGTACGTATTAACGTATGTTCATGGTTTGCACGTGTACTCAGGTCCGAGACGCAAATAACAGATTCGAAGCGTGTGTCATTCATTACCTTGAAACACTAGTTTAAATCAATAAAATTTCAGTCATTTGTCCTCGTACTTGTGACAATGTATTCGTCATATTTATTGTTGTTGTGTCTGGATTTTACCTGGGATTAAAATGCTACTTTCAGCTAGGCGGAATCACGAAGCGGTTAGGAAGAGGAGGGTCACGGTAGCGGCTGGCTTGCTTGTGGTGTTTAAGCAATAAACTCGGAATAGATTCTTTGTGCGCATTTGCGACAGAATAATTTAAAGTAGTATTCAAATTATTACTAAGTGTCGCACATGAAGAATGTTCCTCACATCGATTTCAGTTCATTTAATAACAACGTACTATAGATATCGTTGGCTCCTTATGATTTCACAGACACTCACAAGAACAAGAACAAAAACCAAAATCCGCTACACGTGAAGTGATGAACCTCCATGACAACAGTTGCTAGCAGCAGTGAGAACAAAAAAAGCTACAGAAGAGGTTTTGTTGAAAGTTAATATCGAGTTACAACGGGAATTTTTTCAGTATATATTGATTTTTGAGCATATATACATACGCCAGAATCTCCATGTTAGTAATTATTACAGACTTAATCATGATGTAGTCATCGAGATGCCGTATTCGAAATAATCAAATGAGAAAACACACTTGAACTAACAGTGCAGTCAAATGTGACTCTGAGTACAGGAACTCTAGCCCAGTGGTTCTCAAACTTTTTCAGGCTGGCGCCCTCTTTGGCTCCCTAGTGAACTTCTAGCGCCCCCCACAGACACATATTAAAGCATACGCCTCTTTCTTGAAATTTAGTACGCTGCAATTTTATTAGATAAATGTTAAACACAAATGTGTATTTCACAAATAGAGCCCCTTTTAGTGAACCAATACGTTTTTAAGCTGTTTTAACTGTTTCAGCACTAGAAACCTAGGACGTCTCGGGCAAATTCACGACCGGACTCGGGCCCAGTCGCACGACCAATCTTCAAATTCAATTATCAAGTAATATCTCCCAAACTAATGAACGCAGCTCAAGGAAACTTGGAACATATATTTATCAGAACCTAACGTTGAATTATAGCTCGTAAATATTTTTAAGTTTCACCTTCATTCGTGAGTTATATTGCGATAAAGGCCTAAATTCGCAGTGATCAAAGAATTTCTTCCAAACTACTGAACAGATTTCAACGAAATTTTGAATATACATTCCTAACTACCAAGCGTTGATTTTTTTGGCTTATAAAAATTTTTTATTTTACCTTCTTTTGCGAGTTTTTTTTTTCATTTCACAGTCATTCTTGATTTCACACTTCCTTATATTCGGCCCGTATCGCCGGATAATTTGTCGCTTAAATTCGCGGCGATCAAGAAATTTCTTCTAAACTACTGAACAGATTTCAACGAAACTCTCAACGGTGAATGTTTAGCTCGCGACAATTTTTCTATTTTATTTTCGTTCGCGAGTTATACAGATATAGGAGGAACGACCGGCTTTTCTACCGGCCGGTTTAACCAAGAGCCGTTTACGTATATCCGTATACGTATAGCCGTATAACTGGCAAACGAAGGCAAAACGAAAAAATTGTAGCAAGCTAAACATCACCGTTGCTGAGGTTGGGTATTTAAATACTAAGTTTCGTTCAAATCCATTCAGTAGTTTTGGAAGGAATTTCTTGATTACTGCGAATTTAAGCACGTATTGCTGTTTAAATCACGAATGAAGGTGAAATGAAAAAAAAACTCGCGAACAAAGGCACAATCGAATAAATTTTTAAGAGCTAAACATTAACGTTCGGTAGTTAGGACTGCAAATTCAAAATTTCTTCGAATCTGCTCAATAGTTTGGAAAAAATTTCTTGATTACCCGATACTGTGAATTTCAGCCCGTATTGCCAAATAACTATGGCAAAAACAAATAAAGGCAAAATTAATAAAAAAAATCACGAGCTTAACATTGCCGTTAGATCCCAATAAATACGTGTACCAAGTTTCATCAAGTTAAGTTCATTAGTTTGAGAGATATTACTTGAACATTGAATTGGAACTTGGCCGTGAGATCGGCCGCGAGTCCGGCCGTTAATTTGTCCGAGACGTAAACCCAGGAACGGTTAAAAAACAAATCTGGGTGAAAAAACCATCGCTGGGAGTCATGATGTTCTGCACGTGTTGTGTACAAATCGTCAAACAAACGTTCGAACTTCTGACTTCGACTTCGGACTACCGCCCCCCTATCGCCCCCCAAACGCCCTCTTCTGCCTTACTGCCCCTCAAAATCTTTCCACCGCCCCTAGGGGGGCGATATCGCCCACTTTGGGAACCACTGCTCTAGCCAGTGCATAGCGCTCAAAGCTGCTGTACTCCAACAGGGCAAGTGTCAGGCAGCGAGAACACCGATAAAGCTCTAAATCAGCACAATCCTCTGTTCCAAAGTTACCTCCCGATTATCACCGTAACTGGCGTGATGCGGTACTGTGTTTCAGGAAGTATCTCGTCTCCGGTAGACCAAGTTCTTCCAACAGTAACGACATGGTTATCGGGAGCTCTCAATTAACCCTGAGGCTGAGAGAACATGCTCCGGGCCAGTGATGAGGCTGTAATGAGTGCTAGTCATGAGCTGAATTAGTCTGAGTAGTGCTAATCTCTTTGGCTAAAAGGTCCGTGCGAGAAGCCTCTCTACCCTTGGCCAGGCTCTGGGGCTTGGCATTAGCAGGACTTTTGCCAGAAGAGGAGCCCGTAACAGTGGCAGGTTTAGGCTGAGCCATCCCGTCCACACAAAGAAAATAAGCATGATATTTATTGCAGTTCCTGCACCTGCCTGTAAACTTGTACTTACAGGAGCCGATCTCGTGGTTCAGGAACCCACATTCAATGCATCCGCGTAAGACCTTCACCTTATTTAGTTTAGCAGATGGAGAAGAATATTTAGTGCACGAGGTTATTTTATGGTCATGAAAATTTGCTGCTCCGTCAGATTGACAGAGCCAGCATCCTGCTTTGTGATCGACAGGTGAATGTTCAACAGCCACCTTCGTAGCTAAACTGACACTTCTACAGTCAGATGACTGAGGGGTCATAGAATCTCTGCTAGTAGCACCTGTTTCCTTCAACCTGGTTATCACCTCAAAGGAATTCTCGAGTATATCCTGTAAAGAGGGTTTTGACGTGTTAAACAATAGTCGTCAGCGGTTTCTTAAAGCCGTCAGACAAACCGTTCCACAGGAAGAACTGCAAGAAAATGTCAGTATCAATTCTCAGACGATTAGCTTGATCTACAATAATTGTACGGGCCTCACTAACCCACTGATAAGGAGTTCTGGGGTTGAACTTTAAGTTAACGAGCTTACCAATCACGGAATACTGCTGCACAGTCCTGTTGGAAAAAGCGTCAGTCAACACATCCTTCGCCTTATCATAAGAGAAATCATCGTGAGGAACAGAGTCTGCAATTTGCCTGGCAGGGCCGACAGCTGCTGAATGAGATATAAACATTTTTCAAATTGCGTAAGGTTAAATTTACCGATTATACGCTCAAAGAATGTAATAAATTGTTCAAATAATTCAGGTTGCCCATTAAATTTAGGCAATTCAATTTGAGGTAGCTTAAGTTTCGGCAAGTTACCCGACCCAGGAACAACTGTTCGCTCTGTAACAGCGGCACTATATACTGCATTCAAAAGCGCGACGCGCAAGTTTGAGCTGGCCTAAAGCTACTATAAGCTTATCAGATTAATCATCTGATATATCGGTCTGATGGGAGAACTCATCGGCACCCCACAACCCATGCGTAAGCATCATAGTTTCAATCTCCGTATCAAGGGTGGAAATCTGTCCCTTCAAAAGTTCAAGTTTGGCAACATAAAATTCGATTTCACATTCAGAGTCGGGAAAGGATGCATTTAGGCTATTAAGACATTTCGTTAACGACTGCCGCTTGCCTGCTCTTTGATGAATCATCAGCTTAATTGCTGGATCCTTAATCTTAGAAGATGAATGCCAATCAGCTTGAAGCTGGTGAACAGCCTCCGCGTTAGTGGCATCATCAACAGACATTTTAAGAATATAGATATATTAGAATAAGAAATAGAATATACAAGAATAGAATTTATTATTTGTTTCAACAATATAAAATAGGCTCAATGTATTTCAATAAATCTATTAAAATTGAGATTTGAGAAATTGAGCATAAATTGCACACCGCCTGCAGAGAGATAATCGGGAATGGCAAACAGGTCAGCACACCAAATCACAGCCACGGCCACAAACTCACCATCACACAAGATCCGGCCATGGAAGCTTGAGCAAAGAGTTAGGACTAGAATCCGGTTCGAAGGACCATATACAAAAATAATGAATATTGAATTTCTAATAGAGGATGACTGAATTTCCGACTACAGTTATTAACCATAACCAATTTCAACAAATCAGGAAAATAAGAGAGGATTTGCTGCTAGAAACTGAACAGGCTTTATTCAAGTTCAAAGGATGGATCAACGGCTGGCTCGCTCATCCATGGCTGGCCATGAACATCACACGGTTCACACCTGCCGGTAAACAAACCCAAACTTGAGAATTGGTTGAATATAGTACATGGCTAATTAATATCAGTGTTCAACAAAAAATCGGTGGAATTCACAAATTAATAACGGTCCAAACCCTAAAGGATCATCAAATTTTGAAAAATTGGCTAGGAGCGAGGTAAGCAGGTTCTGGCCAAGAATCAAGCCTCACCTCTGACGTCTCCGAAGCATCAAGGAGTGTAGCTTCCAGGAGTGTAGCACCACCGTGACCACAGCTGCTGAGCAGGAGAACGTCTGAGCTCCAGGTAGGGGAACCACGCTCTCGTCGAGCCACCACAACGTCAGATCAAGAGGAGAGCAGGACCGCGGCCTTAAGATGCTGAAGGTATGCCTTCCAAAAACTGCTAGGCAAACACAGGTGAAGCGGGAGCACCGTGCGGTTAGGCTGGTGTAAGAAATCTGATTGTTCTTGCTGCTATTATCCTTCTTCGGGTTTGGTTTGACACCGGCCAGAAAAGCGGATTATTTACCACTAATAAATTTAATGAATTTAATGAATTCCACCAGATTTTTGTACAGAATCGAATACATTTGGCCCGCTGAACTGATTTGTATAAGACTCTGAATTGCTCTGAATCTCTGAATCACTGTGACAATCACTCAGATGTCGATCCTAAATTGTTATGCATGACGAGATTCGGCCAGTCTTAGCATCTGCAGCAATTATATTTACAGGAGCTCAAGATTTATAATTCAAATTTATTTATTTTAAAGTATACATATAATGCGATCCTGAGACTGGCCGGCCTTACAGTGGTAAGAAGAATAGAAATCAAATCAAGGTTGATTTCTTGAATTGAATTAAGAAATGATTAAATATGCAATACGTCCATGCATTATTCAGCACATTTATTTCTTGGATAACAATTGACAGCAAATAGGTATTTTTATTGGTAATCTACAATGCCAAGAAAAGAAAGAAGAAAAGAAAAGAAAGAAGTCCCTTGACCACAAGACATTTGCCAAATAGTGAGCTGGAACGCTGATATATTCATATATATAAAAGTTATGTGATATATATATAAGATGTTATGTTCTTAATTAAACAAGCTATACACTTTCTCTACACTTTTGTGGTCATAATTATACTTCCATGGAAGAAGAATTAGGCTGCAAAATAGTAAAATGATTTCTCGCTTTTTCAATGGCAATATATGCCGTGGTAAATGCCTTGCTTCGTGTATTGATCGCAGCATGAGCCAATTAATGGAGGTTACCTCGCTGCCGTCGAAAAAAGCGATCCAACTGTAATTTCTTGCTCTAGTATAACGGTCAATGAACATTAGTACCAACAAAATTTTCAGTCAACAATAAGAAAAATCTTGAAGTTCGAATTATACTAATATAAATGAAAAATCCAGCTGATATATAGAGCGAAAAGCACAAATATTTGGTTGATGGTAAAACTTTCGACTTTACAGGGATTTTCTGTAAGTACAAATAAAGCTCATTCAAACGTAAATAAAATAGAGAAAGCGAAAAGTAAATCTAGTTTTAATTTAAAATTAGCGCTGTTTATTAAAATGATTACACCGTTTATGGATCACGATTAGACCTTTTTTTACTTATTATGCATTTAAAATAGTGAGCTCAAAATCGTAAAATCGACAGCAGGCTATGGATATTGTAGATAACGACATTACGAGATGTTTTTAACAATATTTGTAAGTCATCTAAAAAATCACAGCATCACAAAATGGATACAGTATACCAACTTTGATGTATTCAGTCCGAAACATTTTAGTTCATCATATGTTTATAGTTCATGTGTTTAGTTCATCATATGTTTAGTTCATCATACGTTTAATTCATCATACGTTTAGTTCATCATACGTTTAATTCATCATATGTTTAGTTCATCATACGTTTAGTTCATATGTTTAGTTCATTATACGTTTAGTTCATCATATGTTTAGTTCATATGTTTAGTTCATACATTTAGTTCATATGTTTATTTCATCATATGATAATATCTACGCAGTTCAGTTGTGGCAAGTTAAGTGGCCCACACATATAAACTTGATAATAGAACACTTGCAGAGAGTAGCTGGAGCTCGAGTATATACCAGTATAGAATAAACTGATTCGTTGATCAACTGATAGACTAAACTAAAGGGTCCAGTTTTACTAGTATACGTTAGTTTTGTGGATCCATTGCCGTAGCTATATATAAATATATATATTTATTTTATATATGTGACAATGCATTATCAAGTGACAGAATAAATAATTTTAAAATTAAAAAAATTTATATATTAAAAAAGTATAAATAATTTTTAAATTATAATAAATAAATAAATTATAATAAATAAATATAAATAATTTTAAATATTAAAAAAATTATAAATAATTTTTTTAATATTTAAAAATATAACAAGAAATTCATTGTACATGTGTTACATCGGAGACACTATCCTCTTTAGAAGTATTGTCTTTAGCAAGTAATTTTTAAACGCATATTATTAGTCTTATTTGCTCCTACATCTTAGCACACAAGTGTTGTTACCGACATAATTTATTTCTCAACGCATCATAAACTAGCTACCCGCATTGTGCACGAGCCAACATAGCCATAGTTCCTTACTTCACTACGTGCGGCGTGCGTGAGGGCCGTCGTCCCGACTCACCAGCGAGACAGGCTCAGACAGCAAAACATTAAATATAGCGAGTGACATAGCCCTTGGCTCAGAGAAAATTAGTTATTCGGTGTGAATTTTTTTAAAGGCATTATAATTAATCAGAATCAAATACATTTTCCGACGACATAATATTGGACTCATCCTGGAAACGTTTGATTTTACCGACACCAATTGAAAACGGGAGAGTATTTTAATAGAAAGTTGATTTTACATTACCTTCAGAATATTTTTAAACCCGTTTTCCTGCTGTTCCTTAACCCTATCCCTCATTCACTATTCCTCTCCATCATACAGACTTTGTTAGCAATATTTCTTTTTTAACGGTATAAACTTTATATAAAGCACTTCACCACACAATTCGTGTCTCCTATATTTCTTTTAGAGTTGCCGATACTCTGCTAATAAAATAATAATGTTGATCCAAATTAGCTAGAGGGAATTTACTCCATTTTATTATCCGATGTTTATGCATCACAATGTGGCCAATGTTATGGCACAACTTTATTGGGCTTACCTTACTATTTTTTTCAAATCTCCTCAAAATATAAAGGTTTTATTACGCTGTCAATACTAAATTAATAAATTTTATTGGACCTCATATAATTATAGCATTGGGATTATAAAAGTGAACGATTAAGTCAGAAATACTTACTTAAGCTATGAATGCTCTCGATGTGTTGTTTGAAATTCAATGTGAATTTTTGGAAGGGACTGGTAATGCACGTGTAATTTAAGAAGAAATTATGGATTTTATCTTTCATCTCAAAAATTTTAATATATTTTAGTGGCCAAGATGCATCGTATTGCGATGAATGAAACCTATTATGACGCGGTTATCCATTATGTTATAGGTTTCTTTTCTACCTCTCTTCCCAAAGCCAAATTTTGCTCTGCATTTGTTCCAATAAGCTAAGTGGTGATAGATACGATGAGTAGGACATGAAATTCTCGGAAACAATAGCTCTATGATGAAAGCAATAATTATTCAGTCTCTAAAATTTAATCTATGAAAGTTGCATGTGCTTTTTTTGCAGTAGATACACCTAGTACATGATACTTTAATAATTGACATTAAGCTTTCTTCCGCAAATATTTTAAGTCTGCAAGATGACTTTCGTAAGAATTTTATGGAGTATACTTTTCGATTTTAATTCCATACCAAAATTTCTATCTCAATCAGTAATGCTCAATTTTCGATGTGTACGAGTGATCTCGCACTTGCAACACATGCATGAGAATCCATAACTCAATCACATTTCAATAGCAGCTTATTCGTCGGCAAAAGAATGTACTTGATGCCGATGATGCACCAGCTATTCCAGCACAATCTCGCATCTGACAATCCAAGTGAACTATATCCTTTTACATAATTTTTGATCACACTCTATTCCTCTAGGAAATTCTTTTTCGTAGTATACTGATATTAAAATAATACAGTTGATTATTAATAAATATTTTTACCGTAGCGGGTAATCTCTGCCAAAACTAATTTCTTTTGCATTTTCTCCAGTATATAGATTCATGAGCACAGATCGAAAATAAACAAATATTTTCATCGGTTTTTCTTTCGTATTTTCATGCATATTGAAGTTCAACTAGATTTAATCTCAATTTATATTACATGTGTTTATAACACGCTTATGTTATGTTCTTCTAAATTAACCACATTAGTGAATTTCACTATGTTTCAATATTTTTCGATCAAACAATATTATCGAGATCGCAAATTTTACTCAATTTGAAAATCGGAATGCAGATTCAAATTATTACTTATTTTAATGAAGCCATGTATAAGAATCTTAACTTATAGTAGATAAAACTCGACTACGAGGACTATTTATGATTTGTCAATGCTAAATATCACCAATCGATTTTTTCGATAACTTTCGAGTGGCCTTGCTTAATGCAAAGTTCCGTATGGGAATGTTGATGTGCAAAATGGTTTGATATCCCTGCCCTGTCCATGATAAGATGAAATCCATGCGTAGAAATGTTTATACTCGGCTTATTAAGTTAAATAGGATAACAACCATGCTGATAATTTTAATGCAGCGCCGTGCCATCATCTCTTGTGAATAGAATTATATGAATAATAACTTTGCAAAAAATCGATGTTTAATTTTTAACTGATCGAAATTTGGCAACAAGTTGTTGCTTTTCAATTATTATTAACTCTCATAGTCAACTGCTTTAAATAGAGAGAATATGAAACCCGAAATGATATATAGGTTCCTGAAAGTTTGCTTGTTTCAGTATTTGTATGCCTGAATTCTTACCTGTTCCCATAGCTTGAAATTTCACTTGTATTGATGGAAACAAGCAGCATTGTAAAAAGAGGAAGGGCGAGTTAATTAAATCATTAAAATGTGGCATAAAATTTGATGCACAGTTTATTCAAAGTCCGAAAATTGAATTGAATTTAATCAAATCCGGTATTTAAATCAGGATTCCACGATACATGCGAATTAGATGAAACTTTCGCTTGTGAGAATGAGTCTTTAATTTATTAACTGGATTCTGGAAGACGAGATTTTAGATGAAGGGATGAGGGATAACTCCATTCGGGAAGACGGGATTCGTGATGAGAAGATTTAGAGAGACGAGATTCAGGTTGACAAAATCTGGAACACGATGTTGACGATGACTGCTTTCATGATGCCAATATTTCGGGATGAAAGTGTATTTAGGGCGACGAGATTT